AGCTAAATTCAATTAAATGGTCTTTTATTGTCAAGGTGGATGAACACATTTTCCGGTGACAAGATAGGTGAAACAATGTTATTGTCTGCCAGCGAGCTATTCATTTAAAAGGGTGCAAACACTTAAATTTTAATTTTTCTTGTACTAAAGTGCAGTAAGCACATGTTCCAGCATTTATCACTAATTTAATGGTCATGAGGTATTTCTAACCTTGGGCGGAGCAGGGGGATAGCCAATAAAGAGCCTTTAGTGTTAGACATCCACTCTTGATTGCACCAGGACCCTTACAGAAACACAGAGCTGATTGAAAGTGCATGGCGCAGCCCAGAGTAGGAAAGGAAATGGGTGCGTCTGTCCACTTGAGTGAAAGTTTCCAAGCAAAAAAAACGAACTCAGGTGTTTACATAATCAGCAAGGTGTGAGTGTGAAATAAGGGGGAAATTAGTCATCAGCCTAAATCTTCACCCTTCACTCATACTTATGCATGGCTGCGTAGCTCATCAGTAAAAGGACGTCTGCTGAGGATTCTCTCCAAATTTGCAGCCATTGCATCACAGCGACACAGATGTGAAAACTAAATGAAACTTGGTTGTTTACATAGAAATCCACGAGAGTCTGGGGAGGAAATTGCTGAGACGAGAAGGAACTGAATATCAGCAAGCCCAAAACAAAAGGGAACATCATGTGCTCTTGCAGATAATGCTATTTATTCTTGTCTTTTGTTTAGGGGTAACAGCGGGACTTGTCACGCTAACACAGCATGTTTTGTGGTGCTGTTAAATGCTTTAAAATTAAGATGTCCAATGAATATCATAATTTCACAAGACAGGGACGCTACACTAGTGGCCCCTATAGGCCTCAGTGGTCATTATATAGACATAAACAGCAGCTCAGTTAAAGGAAAAGCAAAAGGTTTTTAACCCAACCTGGTATCTTGCTAAAAATGACTGTAAACAAGATGTTTCTAAACTAAGAAGGGGCAAGTGTTTTAGTGTCAAACCAGGGAAAATATTTTCCTAAATATATAGAATTATTTCACTGTTCTATAACTTTAAAGCATTAACTGATGTGTTTTGGCCACATGGGGGCAGCAGAAATGCGCTGTAAACACATTTTTAAGTTGATATGGTGAACTTGTCAACAATTTACACATCCAGCAGCTGTGGACCAACATTAGCATTAACAGAGTCGTGTTTCTGGCCACCTGACAAATAGTTGGCGCCCACTGAGTTTTTAGAGCTTGAACCAAAACTGTAAAACCGAAACAATGAGCTGAAAGACGCTTTAAAGCTCCGGTTTATGATTCTCTATAGGATGTCACTACATTACATGTGACTCTTTCACATTTGATCCATTGTTGTTATTTTAATATTGATTATAGCTGCTTTAACTATGTTTTATTTGAATATTTATTCATTGCAGTCAATCAATCCACTAAACCCAGACCCGAACGACAACCCGATTTGTAGTTTTATATCTTTTAATTTATTTTATTAACTGCTGGCTTCTTTTTTTTTTGTTTTTGCACATTCCGTTTACACCCCAAAATCCAAAACCTAATACCAACCACAGCTGCAATCAGTAGAGGATAAGTGGTACATGTGTACTTGACAATCAACTTGAAGGACTTGCAAATCCACCCTGTGTTTTCCGTTATTATGTCTGATTAGAGTTCCGCTTATGCTTACATTAGCCTTTTAGAAATTGCCTCGAAACATTTCAATTGCAAAAAGAGTCTGATGTCATGGCTCTGACGCGGGTAATGAATAAATATTGATCAGAGTGATCAGAAACTGTGTAAACAGTGAGTGATGCTGCGGCTTGTTGAGCGATATTATACTAAATAAGCAAACAGACATAGATTCATGATTTCTACTTTTCTCAATCACAGTGAAACAGTGTTTCTATTGGTTGAGCGTCCACATCTGCATGGTCAGAGTTGACCAAGGGTGACCTCTGAAATGCAAGTCCAATACTGCTTGCTATTGGTCAGAGGTCAGAAATCATTTGTGCGGATTAAGAAGGATAAAGGTCGCCACACCTAAACAGGTGCAATACTTAAAGAGAGCCAAATAGCCGTCAAAATTACGCCCCATGTCTTTTCCTAAACAGTTTTACTTGACCTCGATGGAGAAGCTCATAAAGTCAAGGAAAGACTGGAAGGAGACTGGAGGGGAATTCATAAGAACAGACAGCCGCGGATGTTATTGACGTGGTTCTGCCACAGTGAAAAATATTACTTCATTACCGAGGTTGGAAATGAAATGAAAAATAAATATAGTCACAAAAGTGAAACAAACATTTAGGATGGTCGCTCACCCTCCTGTCCACCCACATTTATCGACTCGAATCCCAATTAGCATGATTGAATGAAAATAATTATTACATTTATGCAAGATAGGCATGACGTGTGAGGCCTGCAAATCGACCACTGCTACTAAATATCATCATTCTTCGGTCTCAGCCGTGTTGAATTAAAAACATCCGGCTAAAAATCCCCTTTTCTTGAAGAACAGACTTCTGTGTTATGGTTAATATGCCGATTATACTCGTGAGCCAGCGCGTGTAAGAACTACACAACTCAGTAAATACCTTGAAATGTTGATGCCGCTTTGAAGTTGTTAGGGCTGATACAGGCTGCGGATGGATAATGGGACAAAATGGTTATTCCCCAAAGATACTACTATCAGATAATCAAGATCACTTTAACAGCAGAAGCGTAATGTTCATAGCTTGTCTATGGGTTAAACATGTATTAGCAATATTATGGCATAAAATGCAAAATGCTTAATAAACAAAGGTAACTAACAAGCTGATATGCATCCCTCGTTGGTTATATTGAGTGTTTGTTTTCACAGCCAAATGCAAAGAATTGTGGGAAAGGAAGCACTGAAGCACCTTTTCTTAGCATTTAGAGGTAGATATTTCTTTATGAACCTTCCTAAGCAAAACAAGAGACTACACAATGAGGCAATAAGTGAAAACACATGTGTGGGTGAGCCATGAGTGTGTTGACCATGGAATTAATTAGCCTTTTCTCATATTTCTGTCTTTACATTCACAATATTTTCCATTCCACGTAATCATGTAATTATAATCAAAAATATGTTTAACACCAGATTCAAGAACAAAAGGTTAAGAGAGGAAAAAACAAAGGGAGATAAATTGTTTAAAGAAAGTTAATTTTCCAAGTGACACTCTGAGTTGATTAAAGTCACTTCTCCCATCGGCGTGGTGCTCACGACTTCATAATTACTCTTTCTGGGATTGATCAGACACTCTATTACTAAAACAGAGAAAAGAGGAGAGAGAGATGTCAGCGCTGTTATTGTTTTCATTTGATGGTCTGCTCTTTTTGTCCATATCCCAGACTCGCTGAACACAGGCCAATTAGTCTATTTATTATGGGTTTTTTGGGGGGGGGGGGGGAGAAAATTGTGTTTGGAGTTGATTTTTCAGCAGAGCATGCCGACTTCAGACTTACTGATTCGCATTTTTCGCACATCTTCCTTCGTCTCTCGGACTCCAACACATTCCCTCATGTGTGTTTGCGTACATGTTCTTTTATACATACAGTATGTGTTCTTCACTGCCGCCTAACAGGACAAACTGATCCACAAACAAGACCATCAGGCATCAATAATTATTCAGAATCTTTTTAGGACATTCAAACAGACCTGATGGTTTATTTTAAGTTGGTTCTGGAGCATTTTTGCAGAGTCAAATCCAGCACAATCAATAGGAATTGATTGCAGCCTGCAGTGTCAGAAGGAGTCCACAAGGGAGTGCTGCTCCATTATAATTCACAACAGCAAAAAGTAAAGCTTATTGGCTTTCTAATTAGTTCTATCCGTTCACATGGATTGCCTTTTAACCTTAGATCTATAGCAGCCTGGCAAAGTGCTGCTATAGTGAGCACTGAGCAACGTGCTCAGGGAATCCGGAGCCCTTTAAGTCAAAGGTAAGTCAATATGCATATAGGAAACAGTTCCAGGGCCCTTTGGGACAGCTGAAGTACAGCTTTAATGTACTTAAATTCATTATTTTCATTTTCTGTTACTTTATCATTAAACTCCACCACATTTCTGAGTGAAATTTGGGGGAAATGATGCACTACATCTTGTCCTGAGCATGGATTAATACAATCAAAATACTTCATAAGGAGTCCTGCATGCAACATTTTACTTAAAAGTATCATCAGCAAAATATGCACAACAGCTAAAGTAGTCATTCTGCAGAATGCTCCCTTTCAGAATAATCTGTCTTTATTTTTATTACTATTATTATTATTATTGTTATTGTTATTGTTATTATTATTATTATTATTATTACATAGCATTTTAATGTTGTAGCATGTGTAACAGGTTGGAGCCAGTTCTAACTGCTTTATATTCTGTTTGGTAGTTTAATCTTATAAATTGCAACATATTTTATCATAATTATATATTTTGGATATAAAATATTAATCAGTGGACTAACTATATCGGTCAGATAAACTTAGAGGAGTAAAAAGTACAATATTACCCTTTGAAATGTGATGTAGTAATAGTATAAAGTAAGTAAAATGTATTTATATTTAATTTTCCATCATTGGAAATGTATATTTTAGTAAGAATTACAGTAGATTATTTATTCCATGAGTATAGTATGTTTTAAAGTATGTTTATTTTTGGTTTGTTTGTGTTTATTGGACATCACCGGCTTGAACTCTCCAGCACTAACCACTGTAACTAATTAATTCCACTAATATGTAAAGAGCCACTCCAGAAATGGGTCACCAGCGATCAGAAATACCCCCCCTCCTCCCCTCCTCCTCCCCCTCCTGGGTCCGCAGCAGCCGGCCGGCGGTGTTTGGCCTCCCGCAGTATAATTGATCAGACTGCCGGGGTGTGAATGGCCGCTCTCTCGCAGCCAATGGCAGAGCACCGGATGCGAGATATCCGCTGCAACAACAAGCGCTCTGTTCCCCCCCTTCAAGCTTGACGCCATTTACAGCCCAAATCCCGGCCTCCCCTCCGGAAAGAGCAAAAAAAAAAAAAAAAAAAAAACACACACACACTCACTCTCTCTCACACACACACACACACGAGAAAAAGTACTTGCAGCCCCTCAGAGCCTGGCGGATAACACACACCGAATTAAAACTACTTCTGAGCTGGACTTTTTCCACGTTTCTTCTTCTTCTTCTTGCAGGAAAAAGAGGAGTCCGGTTAAGTTTGCACTCCGGAGGTTGAATTCAAGCTTCTTCTTTTTTTTTTTTTAATGCCTCGTGCTCTTGCGCAAAACATGGGATTTACGTTTTAGCGCTGCTTTTTTTTTTTATGCAAAATGCGCTCCGGTTGGAAACTTTCTCAATGGATCTTACCGACGGGTTTCCAGACTGAGAGAGAGTTTATCCCCCCAATACAGCGACTCAAACTGGATTTATTTCACCTAAACGGGAGCTAAAGTGTCGAGAGCACGGTACGTGGAGCCTGTTTTAGTACAACGTGAACTGTGAACTGTGGTGGGGGGGATTTAAAAACGGAGCGGATGTATTAGTTAGCTAAAGTTGTGTCAAAAAAAAAAACGAGCTAAACTTCTTTTCGTAGCTTTTTTTTTTGTTGTGCTAGCATGTGCCTCTTCGCCGCTGTCCTACTTCTTCTTTTAGCTTACTACGAGCATACATGTAATGTTATTGTTTATTAGAAACAATTATATTTGGAGGGGGGGGTTACTTTTTTTTTGTAGAGTAAATGTGCGTCTAATGCCTTAATTTTAATTGCTCATAACGCTGCTGGTGTCAGCTCTCTGTTAGGAAGTAGTCGTGTCCAAGTTGGCACATGTGTATGTGTGTGTGTGTGCTCATATGTGCATTCATACACCATGAACCCCCCCCACCTCACATGGAAGCAACAACTGAACCTATATGACACTACTGCCCCCCCCTTCTGCTGTCATGTATATTTAATTCCTGCACACAGTGGGGAAACACTGCTCTATCAGTTAGCTGTGCATTAGGAATTATATGACTCACTCCATACTCTTCTTATCGTTTTTAAAAAGCTTGTTGCCATCAGTCTGCCTCCATCAGCCCCCACACTTCACCCTAACCCACCCACTGTGGCCAACATGGCTTGTACACAGGCCCTCTAAGTAGACGAGGGGACCCCCACCCCACCTCCCTCCTAGCAGGTTAAAATGTGAGTGCGCCTGCAAGCCCCTCTCATTTGGAGCCACACACACACACACACACACAAAAAAAAAAAAAGCTCATAAATCCTAAAGAACCCTCTTCCATCGCTCACAGAGAGCTTCACATCCCCACCCTACCACCACCCTTGAACGCATCACTCACACTCCACATGCACTCTTTCATGCTCTTTTTTTTTTTTTTTTGTTTTATCTTGTCACTCATCTTCTTTTCAGGAGCGCCACAATGTAACATGTGTTTTTAGAATGGGGAAGGTTTGCTGCAGGCCATTTGTCATGCAACAAACAAAAGCCCCTTCCTGTATTGTCATTGAAAGAGTGTGGGGAGGTGGTGGTGGGATGGGGTGGACTCGCAACCCAAAGGATGGCATTTGAAAGCTAATTGCCGCGAGGAAGGAGAATTAAGGCCACCGCTGTCAGTTTCTTTACTTTGGTGTGATATATGTTGGTGAAAACAAGGCGGTGCGTTCGAGTGCGTTTGATTAATGCAGAGTGACAGTGCAACATGCTAATACGAGCTCTCACCGTACAGTGAATCAGTGAGTTTCTAACCGATCTGAGCGCTTACAGACGAGAGGCCGGGGTCAGAAACTTAAGTAAAAAAAACCTAAAACTAGAACTTTCCATGTCTGACCTCCGTAAAAGTACCTAATATCCCCCAGCCCCCAGCAAACCCCACAGGGAAAAAAACTGAACTCTTATCGCCACACAGAATGGAAATATTGATCCTTCCTTAGAAAACCTTAAATTCATATTTGCTGCCATTTGATTTGTCGTATTTACATTTGAAGCTTCAGCGCGTGTCCAATAACGCTGTGTCTAAAAAGAAATGCTTAAAAATGGCTTTTACAGTTTTAAGTTGATGTCTTCAGGTGGCTTGTTTTGTCTGACTGACAATCTAAAGCCACAATAGTGTTCTCTTGATTTCTCAGTTCATAGTTCGGTCCGTTAAAATGACAGAAAATAGGTTTTAAAAAAATGTCCACCACGATTTCCAGCTCATTGATTTGGAGGATCTTGAACCAGTGAATTTCTGGCAGTTGATCGATAATCAAAGTAGTTACACGTTCATTTTCTTTTCTTTTTTCAAAGTATTTTGGGCCATTTTAAACCTTTGTTTCAGACGGTGTAGAGACAACAGGAAATGAGGGAGTGAGTGAGAGAGAGAGAGAGAGAGAGATGCAGTGAAGGCCTCCGGCTGGACTCGAATCCGCAAACGTTGCAGTTCACGGCCGACGTCTTGAGACGGTGTGCCCCGTTTGTGTCGATCCACCAGCTGATGAGTTGTTTCTGAGCTCGGGGGTCCAATCAAATTCATTTTTCTTAGATTAAGTTAGTCATTGTTGTGTCATAGGTGTGGGGAAACAGGAAGTTGGCTCAAACTATAGAGAAGCGTCTGAACTCAACAGATATGTCAGTTCTTAAACATAAAACCTGGATTGGCTCCGAGTAAACAAACTCTGAGTCTAAAGGCCCAAACACCCCTCGCTACTGAGGGTTGTAGCTCCAAACATTACATCATCCCCCCCCGGCACTGTGGTGTGTTTGTTAGGCCTTATTTCCATAATGGTGCTTGTACAGATATCGGTTATGATTTGCATCGCAGCATTTGCATGGCTCGTCACAGACGGATATAAACTGTCTTTTTCTCTTACAGGACTTCAGATGTGTCCCATGCCAGCCACAGTGGCCCTTCAGTCCCGAGATGGATTCCAGAAGTCAGAGCGACAGCGACGGGGGAGGAGGACGCCACGGGTGGTCACTGTCACCGACCGGCTCGCCGGATACGCCGCATGACGAAGGGAGACCGCAACCACGGCCTCCGCAGACACACGACGGTGCGCCAGATCCTGGGTTGACCAACGGGCAGCCGTCCCATACTCCAGCTGTGCTGTCTCTGGATCAGATCAGGATAACTGGGAGTAGTAATGAGTACACAGAAGGGCCCACGGTTACCCAGAGGTCTCCGGCGTCTGAGCACAGGCAGCCAAAGAGCGATGTGGTTATGTCACCGGCTTCAAGGACCAGTGGGCCGCAGGAGACTCCGGAAGAGAGGCCTAATAATCTCCGCAACCTGCATTCATTGACTCAGTCTGAAAACACAGATACTATCTCTACCAGGGAGGGCGTGCTGCGGTCCTCCAGTGTAGAGGACTCCCAGAGTAGCATCAGGACCAGCGTGGGGAGCTCTTCTTCAGGCCAGAGGCTCCTCAGCAGCCCGGCAGGCAGCAACCAGATAATCAGAACCCAGCCCAAACGCGCAGAGCTCAGTTCAGAGGAGCTGAAACCCCTGAACAATGAGTCCAGGCCGGTGATGGCCGTGCCAGGCAGCGGACACCCTAAAAATCAAGGTATACACTCCGACAAGTGCGGGGACTGCGGTCGGTGCTGTTGCTCGGAGTGCAGTCGCCCGCGGGCGCTCCCGTCCTGCTGGACGTGCGGCCGGCGGTGCGTGTGCTCGGTGCAGAGCGCGGTGGAGTACGGGACGTGCGTCTGCTGCGTCAAGGGGCTCTTCTACCACTGCTCCAGCGACGACGAGGACACGTGCGCCGACAAGCCCTTCTCGTGCACACAGCCGCACTGCTGCGCCCGCTGGACCACCGTGTCGCTCCTCTCCCTGTTCTTCCCCTGCCTCCTGTGCTACCTCCCAGCGAGAGGATGTGTCGCCGTGTGCCAGAGCTGCTATGACCGAGTCGCACGACCCGGCTGTCGGTGCAAGAACCCGTAGACGAGGCGGCCGCGCGTGTTTAAAATGCAGAAGGATGGAAAAGACTCCATGTTGAACGGACTGGCCCTGTAGCGGTGTAGTTGAAAGGTTTGATTAGAGAGCTAATGATGCTGTCGTGCTTGAGTTTTTGTGTATTCCATCTAGATCTTCACGCCTGTCGTAGTTAAACCTTTGCCTTGAATTGTCAGCTTTTAAGGCGGGTCGACGGTAACCTTCTTGTTTGAGGCACTGGAGGAGCACTCACTCACCCGAGCATTAGGAGTTTCACTTGAAAGTTAAACCAAAACAAGCGCTCCACAGGTTAAAATGACGACTCATTCAACTACTGCTTTGTCCTGAAAGATAATGTGTTCACTCAAGTGCCCAGATATCATGTCGTTGCTATGCGAGTCCAAATGGATAGCCCTTTTTTTTTTTTTTTTTAAACATTTAATACAACTTATATGCTAAGAACAGACTCCTATTACTAACTGTATGTAAAGTAGTAAATGCAAAAGGGTATGTACATTAGAAAGATTAGTTTGACAAATGTTTTATTTTTGTACATATAATAATACTTCAACTGTGAAAAGTTTTCTGCCGTACCAGAGGCACCTTGATAAATCCACATATCTATGAATCAGTCGACTTCATTCATACAATGTTTGTACATTCACTGGAATGTATATCAATCATTTTATGTCATTTACAAAGGAAAAGTCTTATCCCTTCTACTTGTAAATTGTACAGTGACCTTATATGAAAAATTTATTTTCTAATTCCAACATTGCTTAGTGTAAAGTTAAAAAAAAATCTATATTTATTTGAAGGTTTATTATTTTATAATGAAAAATATTTATTTTGAGAAAGCATTGTTAATGTGTCACCTCTCGCGGGGGGGGGCTCATTCTGTAGTGGCTGCAGATTCTGAGGTGACGTGTAGGAGTGTCAACGCTGGATGAATAGTTCACTATGAATTAGAAGACAAATATATTAACGTTTGAAATTAAACAACCTTGAAGTCTGACAGTATTCTGTTCCTGTTGTCTTTCTGCATTGTCTCTTTAATCCACATTTCCATCACTTTTTAACACCGATAACTGAGTGAAGGGCCGGGTTGCGTCTGGGTTTCCTCTCTTTTTGATTGAGACCTCTCCGGATGGTTTAAGCAGCGTTTAATTGAACCTCTGCACGAAACGCCTCGCGCAGCAAAAGCTATCATCAACCCGGCTCTAGCATTTTGTCTCGGCAACACAATCACAATGCACGATGTTTACGGAGATCAAACGAGGAAACGAGGACGCATTAATGTTCACCTTGGGCCCTCCTCAAGAAAAACATCTGGCCCCCGGAGAAGCCATCTATATAGGAATGTGCACATCTGTTTGCATGCACTCCAGAAAACCCTATCACTTTTTTTTTTTATCTTCCAAATCAAGCGCTCCACCTGTTTTTTTTTTTGCAAACATGCATTCACGTAAGCCTGCTATTATACCCTGGCCTGGCTTCAAGTTCATTTCATACACGTTCTTCATGATCCTGCAGATACTGGGCCCTTTTTTATTTTTCTCCTCCTCCTCCTCCGTGCGTTTCTTTTTTTTCCTATCAAAGGTTTGTTCAGGAATTCCTTGGTTTTGAATGTCCCTGCAGGCGAAACATAAGCCTGAAACATAAGCCCCTGACACTTGTTGACAGCATACGGACGTGTTTGCGGCACGGTATGCATTCAGGGCCGTGATTGACGCGCCGAGGCCCAACCTGCGCTCACTTGTTTGTTATTCATCCCCCAGCCTTTGACTGACGGGGGGGGGGGTTGCTTTACATAATTATCAACTTTCACCTATTTTACAGCGGCCCCGGTGGAGGAGATGGAAACATAACGGGGCGAGGATCCCATTAGAGACAGAAAAGGGAGAGTTGATCTTGTGTTTAGTCTTTATTTTTTCCAGTCACAGGCCTCCTCTCTCCCTCCATTGTCTCAGCTGTGAATGAAAAGGGAAAGGGTGGGTGTGGAGGAGGTGGTGGAGGGGGGGGTTGTTAGGAAGAGGGGACTGCAAAGGGTTAAAAGCATCACTTTGAATGACAAAGACCGAACAGTTTACCCCCGTATTCAGCCCGGCATGCATTCATCCTGTTTTCAATAGTCGGGGGGTCATTTTGGCTCCCCAACGCTCCTCTCAGCTACCTGCTCCTACTTGGTATTCCCATAGGGAGATGGTTGTCTTGTTGGAGGGGGGGGGGGCAATCAGTTGGATGTGTTGAAGGAAAAATAGTCCTATCTGCCGGGATATGCGCTTGTAAAGCAGAATGAGGTACATCTTCACTCGTGCTAATGAGAGAAAAAAAGTGTTTTTGTAGCTCCAATTCAAATCAGTCTATCTAGAACAGTGCTTCCCCTCTTTAGAGCTTCAGGTTTGGTCTCTTTTTCAGAGCGGGTCTGCATCTCAGCTGTGAGCAAAGTGCTCTGAGGAAGAAACTGAACGCTTTTCATAGTTTTTTGGAAGTCGTTTTCAGAAAAAGCCTAAGGGCCCTCCTCTGATTTTTTATTTTTTAAATTATATATATATAAAACATATATGTTATATCTATATAACTCTTTTAGGAAAATTGTAACTTGATCAAGGGGTGAGTTACATCCAAAAGAGGGTTTTTCTCAGAAGTGATCAGTTCAAAAACAGTAGAAATATATCAAAGTACACAAGCAGTCGGATATCATGCATGAGTTATCAGCCAGAAAAAGTGAAAATGGGTTGCAGGAGATTCTGGAAAAAAAAAAGTGAGAGCTGGTGCATAAAAGCATAAAAACATAAAAACAAGAAACACAGAGAGAGATTATTTATGCGCCGGCAGTCTCAGTGATTTGGCAGCTGAGAGTAGCAGGAGGAGGGGATGTGAGAAAAAAAAAAAAAAAAGGCCCCAGAACGGCTCTCTTTGTTGGTTTTAGCCGCCGTGGCCCCTGCGGCTCATGGCGGCTGTGGGGCAGAGCGGCCTATTCACCCTGCTCACCAAGGCAGAACGCAGCACAGGAAGACAGGAAGGAAGCGAGGCTATTCTTTATGGACGCATTGTCTGTCTGTCTGACGGCCAGGCTTAAGCAATCAAACAGCACTGTGAGAGAAAGAGAGGGAGAAGAGAGGAAGTGCGGCACCCTGTGAAAGCATTACAACTGTTAAATAATATAAAGATCATAAAGGAATTAAACAGATTGTCATGTTTTCTGCAAGATTATACCCTTTTGTTGCAACTTCCGTTTCAAGGTAAAATGTAATAAATGAGTAAATGTTGCAGAAATGTGATAAAGAAAGGTAAAATATAAGGCTAAACAACCTACAATAAAATATATTTAATGCACTTAGCTGTAGTATAAAAGTAAAAAAAAAACTCACATTATTGTTTCATAGTGATTCTTATATAATGTTTGTACCAATTGTCTCTTATTTGTTGTCACACCTGTAGTGTTTGGTAGTTTAAACAGCCACAATACACACATCATTTATGAGCTTACAGGAATGTAAAACATTCTGCAAAGTAGTTTTTTAACTATTTGCATAAATGTTGTAGGTAGTGGACTAAAAGTGAAAAGTCGTGTAAGTCTGGAAATGCACAACAACACCAGAACATGAAAAGTACCACATGTGTAACAGCTGTATATAGAACTGAAATTATAATTTAATTATAATTTACATTAATAAATGTACACACGATTGTAATTAGGAAGAAAAATAATTCCTTTAGTGTTCTCAAGGGAGCTTGAATTTTTGGTACTCACTGATAATGTCCATACCAGTACTGTAATTTGATGTAACTGTAATGCGATAAATTACTTTAACTCAAAAAAATAGTTGAAACCCAATTGTGCAACTTTTTAAGTGACAGAAACATTCCAGAGTACCAAGTACTTTTTACTTTTGTTTTCACAGTACAAATAAAGAAATATAGAAAATTAAGTCAGTGTCGCTTAAAATTACTAGTAAATGCTTAATCAAGAATGTTTTTGATTTAAAAAAATTGAGTTTGTGTTACTTAATTATTTTTATGGAAGCAGTTTCAGCGTTTTTTTTTAGTTAAACTAATGTTTCAGGTTTTACAATGTGGGCACGCTCTAAAAATAGTTTTTAACAACTCTTAAGTTCTGTCTTACTGTGTTTTTAGCCAATCCTTAGCCCCATTTTTATATTTTACCCCTCATATTTTTACCTCCTGCAGTTACTAGTTATTAGTTAGAGGATTACTCGATGCTTTGAGTTTTGACAGTCTCGTCATCACCTCAACTTGGATCCACCACAGAACCTCTAGACCCCCCCCTCCTTCTTTTATATAATGTGGAACGAACACAACCCTGAGTGTGTGGGAGCTGCTAATGACTCAGCAGGAGTTAAAATAACATGAAGGAAAAAATATCTAACTTTAGCGAGATAGCTGACTTTAGCAAGACTACAAATAGGACGAGTCCTCACTAAGGGATGCTGTATAGGGACAGACATCTTAAATGAACGGTGCACAACCAACGCTACGTGGACGTGTTAAAGAAGGGGGAAAAACACAACGCTCCAACACACAGACGGAGGTTGACAGCGTGTGTTGTTGAACGTGTGCCCTTAAATGTCACCCAACTTGCTGCAATGAGAAACCCCCACCCAGAGCCGTGAAGCTCTGGGTCTCCATGTATTCCCATGAATTTGAAAAAAATAAACGGTTTTATACCGTTAAATTAAATCGACAAAATCACAAAGTGTGGTGAGAATTTTAATTTCAACTTCGAATCCCCCGCACTTAAAACACATTATGTAGATTATTTGGGGAAGTGTGTGAGCTAATAGTACTTTACAGTTGTTTTATTGTCATTTTATTGTCCTACCATTGGATCTCTGCAGAGGCTAATCACATTCTCACATTAAACTCGGTGATGTCAAAGGAAGATGAAGTTACTTCTGTACTCTTTGACAGTGAGATACATTTATTTTTGGTTTTGTTTTTCATAGAAAGAATATAAGTCAATGCGTTCTTGTCTCTTTGGTGGTAAAGCATCTTGTGGCTGGACTTTTCCACTGTGGTTCATCGTGTTCGCCAGTGACGACAGCATAAACTCAGACATTCGAGTTACACAACTTTCACATCAAACTGAGGTACAGTCAGTCTTTTCAGACATTAAAACCCAACTTTTAAGAGATCTAACTAAAATGTTACACAGCTTTTCTAACCATGTGTGCGCGCAGGCATAATTCACTCATATTGGTTGTAGCTGTTTGCAGAAAAGTCAGTTTAACACATCACATGGCAGTAAAGAGGCTACAGGCCGTGGGTGTAAGAGAAAAAAGCCACCACACCTTTTCTCTTCTCTACCAGTGAAAATGTTTTCTTAGAAGCTGAACTTTTCTTTCTTGTTTTCCGATGTGGGCGGCAGAGAGATGCACACATGTTGAGCTCAAAGTTAAAGCGCATCCCCCCACCTGACTGTGGTTTTACTTTCCATTGAGCCTCGTCCGCAGCTGTCACTATGTGTTCAGCCAAATGGCATCAAGAAAACTCCAGAATAATGACTTTCTACCCTGCTAAGTGACAAATTCCAAAACGGCTCTTTTTAGCTTTTTTATATATCCACTTTCTACAGAGCAGCCAGGAGACACGTTCACCTCTGCAGCTTTGGGAGAGCGTACAGCTTTTGCGAGGTGAATTACGGGGCACGCCTGCAGTTAAGAACCTAAATCTTATGCAACCCAGTTCTCTCTCAGTGACAGCTGAACTACTGTTATGCCTTGAGGAGGAAGATTACAGCAGCCAGGAAGGCAAAGAGAGCAAATAGAAGGAGCAACAGAGACACTAGAGAGTGTATCTGTCATAAAAAGTTAGTGGAGGGTGAGAGGGAGGGTGTGTGCAGCATAGAAGGCCGCAGAAACGTCCTTGTACACGCTGAAAACGTCCTTGCACACGGTGAAAACTTTAAGAACTTGACCTGCGTGCATGCTTGCGCGCTAATGTTCGTGTATGCATGTGTATTCTTGCACACGTGCGTGTTTCTGTCAGCAT